CCCGCCGAGTCAGCTGTGTGCCGAGGCCTGTGGGGGCCGTGAGGGTGCAGAGAGCACCGGGAGTAGGGGTAGGGCCTCCCTCAGGGAATGTGCAGGGCCTGGTCATGGGAGGGCATTGTTACATGGTAGCTGAGGTCTCACAGGAGGCCGGGTCTGGTCCCTGGCCCAGCCTAAAACAGGCTGCGTTTTGTGGGGCTGGCCGACTGGGAGCCTGGCAGGAGGGTCACCACGATGGGAGACCCTGTCAGAAATACCTTCTCTCCTTCCCATGCGCTCACTTGCTCTCTCACTGAAAAATAATAATAATAAAGAGCTTGTGGGCTGTGGGGCAGCCCAGGGCCCAGGGCTAGTGAAGAGCCTTCCAGGCCTTATGGAGAGGGTGTCACTGTCACATGGTCACAGTTGGTCCCTGGCAATCCCAGGCTAAGACATATCCTAAGGGAGTCACTCCAGGGGACACCCCAGAACCACCTTGGTCATCTGTCACCTGGAGAATAGCCCTCAGCAGCAGGGGGCTGTGCAACTGCCACAGCAGGTGAGGGGACAAAGGCCTGCCGTGGGGTGGTCAGTAACCCTACTGCCTGCCGCCTGCTAGGAGGGAGCCCCGGTGCACAACCACAGTCCGTAGTCACGGAACAAGACTGAGAAGCCTTTGTCGTTGCACCTGTGAGCGCGACTGATGGTCATGAACACTTAGCGAAGTCTCTGGAACGGTGCACCCAGGATGGGTCCGTTGTATCACAGAGATGCTGGAGACAGGTGAAGTTAGGACAGCACCGGTTTATATGGCTTAGTAACCTCCGGTGGCTGGGAAAGTCCTCAGGGGTAGGGCTGACCTGACCTGGCCGGCCTACAGCGTGGCCCACAGGCAGGCGTGTGCAGTGTGGGGAAGAGCATGGAGGCACTCTGTTGTTTAAAGTAACCCCCTCTCGGGAGAACAATCCCCTTCTCACAAGACTTAGAACACGCTCAGTTCTCTCGCAGCATGATGCTAGTTTGTCCATGAGACCAGGCCCTCCGTGAGCCGGTCACCACCATCCAGCCACCACCCTCTAAGACCAGATTCCCAAACACGTACCTTTGGAGGACAAACCATTATCCAAACCATAGCACGTGTGATCTCCATGTTTTGGTGTGTGTGTATTAACAGTAAAAAAATCTATATTAACGAGGAGTTCAAAGTCTGTGGAAGGGGCCGAGTTTATGGTGTACAGTAGTGGGTGCTCAAGTGAAGCCAAGTCCCATCTGGTGACTGTGGTGTGACTCTTGGCCTGCTCAGCCTGAAGCTCGCTGGGCACGTACACTTGTGGATAAGGTCCCATGGGCCAGAGGAGAGGGTGGCGGCGTGACCAGACCTGTGGAGGGTGCTCCTTTCTCTCTCCTTCTGTCTCTCTTACTTGTATATGCACACAGTCCATCAAAAAAAAGAAAAACATGTTCTTGGAAAAATAGAATTAAAGTATGAGTTAATTTTGATAAAAAAATGTTGAAAATTCTGTGTTTTTTAAAAAATAATAGTTTACTTATTTAATTTTATTAAATAAATTATTTATTTAATTTCTTTGTTATCATTATTTATTTTTAAAAATTTGACCAGACAGAGACAGAGAGAGAAAGGAAAAGAGGGAAAGCAAGCCGCTGGGTCCAGGACGCGAACCGCAGTTGGCCGTGTGGGAGTCCAGTACCTTAAACATCACCCCACCTGCTGGTCTCCCATGTAGTTTTTCACAATTCACATTTTCTGTGAACTTTTTAAAAACTCCTTAACTCCGGTTAACAGTGGTTCTCTGATGAAAATGGGATTGAATATTTTCTTTGTGTTTCTATTTTTTATCCAAATGTATTATAAGTAAAATAAATGATCATTATTGCAAGTAGAAAGTAGAAGTCACTTCCGGTGAGGCCGCCAGTCCCACCGCTTCCCACGGTGCCCTGCTCAGATGTGCCGAAAGACAGACCGGTCATGGGGCTGGGCTCCCCATCTTCAGGAGGCCCGTGGTCCCTGACCCCTCCTTCTCCTTCACCCTCATGCTAGTCTTCTTCCCTCTGGGTCTTTAACGCAGGACTCTCCGCCACCCACCCACCCTCTGAAAGCCGTCCCTATTGCTGTAGCTGACGAAGGAGAGTCCGAGTCGGAGGATGACGACCTGAAGCCTCGCGGTAATGGCCCCAGGATGGGGGGAGCCAGGGCCAGGCTGGGACGGGGAAGCTCCAGGGTCTTGGTCTCTGCTCGCATCGTGTGCAAGGAGGCAGGGCTCTGGCCTTAGTCATGGCTTCCCTGGGAGAGCCAGCCTGCCAGGCTGAGGCCTAGACCTGGCCGTCCATGTCCCTTCTCTCAGCTGCATGACCTTGCCAGGCCAGCCCCTCTGCAGCCGGGCCTCCTCGTCTGTGGTGTGGACAGTGGGCCTGGCTGGGGGTGGGCTGAGGAGGCCATTAGTGCGTCAGGGGCCACAGCTGCCACGAGCAGGATCAGCTGTTACCGTGCTCGGAAGGCTCCTGGGATGAGGTACCCCACCCTGCCCTGTGTCCTCCCCAGTAGGACCCCGTGTGGTCGAGCCACAGCTCAGCTCCGAGCGGGACTTGTGAGCCTCTGGCCAGGCCAGGTCGCTCACCTGCCCTCCCCGCTGTTTGCTCCCAGGCCTCACGGGCATGAAGAACCTGGGGAACTCCTGCTACATGAACGCTGCCCTGCAGGCCCTGTCCAACTGGTAGGTTGTCCCCCGTCTTGGGCCGGGGCCTGGAGCTGTCCCTGGCAGGACCTTGGGCACAGTAGCGGCAGCCACCCCCACATGGTATTGCCCAGTCGCGTGGACAAGATGCGCACCAAAATTCCCAAAACGCGCGTGGCCTTTGACCCGGCAGTCGGCTGTCAGACTTCGTCCTGAGGCGATCACTGGAGGTGGTGAGGACATGGTTCGAGCAGAGCTCACTCCTCTGGTTTGTCAGAAAGTTTAGAGGCTCGTCTGCAAGCGAGTGTAGACACATGTGGCCTCGCCGGTGGCAAGTGCAGGAGGAGGAGATGCAGCAGGACGCTTCCTGAAGTGGGAAGGGCTCAGCGGCGGGTCGGTGGGGAAGGAGGATTGGAGGCTTTGCGTGGTGCAGCCCCATTCTGGGGGAAGCTATTTTCCATCAAGGGCAGGCTGTTAGCTCCCTGAGGCCAGGGATGTGCCGTCTGCCTGCCGCAGGGCCCCTGCCTCACAGGGGTTCCCTGTAAGTGTGTGTGGGAGTGATATGTCTGTGTGGAAAAGTCAGAGGACAAGCCCCGAACTGTTCAGAGTAACTGCGCAGACAGTAGGAGGAAGGTTATTGCCTGTCTGTGTTTTCTAACCTTTCTACAGTGAATGTATTTATTTAATGCGATAACTTTTGAAAACCTAGGGGAGAGGAGAGTGGGGAGGTGGGAAGGTTTCTGCAGAATGGGCTGATGGGGGCTGGCAGGTGGCATGATTGGTATTGAGGGAGCTGGACTCCCACATGGCTGACCACTGTTTGAGTCCTGGACCTGGCAGCTTGCTTTCTCATTTTTCTCTCTCTCTCACTCTGTGCCTCTCTGGTCAGATTAAAATAAATAAATAAATAAATAAAGTTAAATAAAAAGTTCTTGGGGACCAGCAGGTGGTGTGGTGGTTAAGGCACTGGACGCTCCCACATGGCCGACCATGATTCAAGTCCCAGACCTGTTGGCTTGCATTCTCACTTTCTCTCTCTCTCTCTTTCTCCATGTGTGTCTCTCTCTGGTAAAATTAAAAGAATAAAAAAGAATGAGTAAATAAAAGTAAATAAGTAATTTTTTAAAATTCTTAAAGAAAAGGAAGAATGGGCTGATGGGAGGAGACAGGTTGGTTCTGCGGTTTATTCCTGGCAGTCCCCTGGCCTCAGGGCCGCCGTCAGGAAGCTCAGTCTGACCAGGAGAGATGGGGGTGCATTTGCTTCCCAGGACTGCCATAGGAGGTCCACAGCCTGGGTGGTTCAACAGTACAAATGTGTTTCCCCTAGTTCTGGAGGCTGGAAATCGGGTCAAGGAGGTGACGGACTTGGGTTCTTTTGAGTCCTCTCTCCTTGGCTTACAGATGCCCAAAGCCCTACCCACCCCATTTCCAGCAATCTTACTCTGTATACACGCAGGTCTGGAGTCTTTGTGTGTCCAGATTTCTTCTTATAGGGCGCTCGAATCAGATCAGATCAGGGTCCATCCTAACAGCCTTCTTCTAACTTAAATAGCCCTTTAAAGTCCCTGTCCCCAAGTGCACCACACTCCGAGACAGGAGTGAGAGCTTCCTCAGCATGCGAATTTGGAGCGCACGGTCCAGCCCTTACCAGGTGGGGTCTGGCTGGCTCTCTGCAGGCATTTCTGGATCTACGCATCCTTACCCGGTCACCGGGGGGTTTTGGGCTCTGCGCAGTAATTAGACAGTGTCACTGTCCCCTCCTCTTCTCCTCTGATTTGGCTCCTTCTCCTCCGCTCCCAGCCCTCCGCTGACTCAGTTCTTCCTGGAGTGTGGGGGCCTGGTGCGCACAGACAAGAAGCCAGCTCTGTGCAAAAGTTACCAGAAACTGGTCTCTGAAGTCTGGCACAAGAAGCGGTGAGTGACTGAGTGCCCAGCCTGGAGCAGGTGGGCAGAGCCGGGTTTTCTGTCAGGCCCCAGGAGTGGGCACTTCCTGGGGATCCAGCCCAACCTGAGAACGGCCTGCTGCCTGTGAGGTTTACAGCAAGCTGGGGGAGTGCTTTCCACGTGGGGCGACTGAGATGCAGTTTCAAGTGTCCCGCTCAAGGTCGCAGCCACTCTGCAGACGTCTGTGCTGAGGCCGGAGACGTCTTGGGCCGTCCTCCTCCCAGCTAGGACCCTGCAGGTGTGGAAGCGTGCCCATCAGAGAGCGGCTGGTGCAGGGAGTTCTGGTTCCGTGTGGAGTGGGTTCAAGGCCAGAAGCTTGGATTAGATCAGTGTTTTCAGGAAGTCGGGAGTTGAGGGTGACTTCAGTTGAGTGCATGGATACATATCCAGTGCCAAAGCAGCTTACACAGCGGCGTGCAGGATCAGATGGGCACCGCAGTCGCTCGACGGCCCGCAGGGGCAGGGCAGTGTGTGCCCACTACACTCTGTACATGCGCCCGTCTCTCCATAGCGAGATCCGGGAGTCATAGAGGTAGTTACCTCTGGGTGGTGCCATCGGGGTAGTGGTTCTTTGTTGTGTTTCTCTGCAGTTTTAGATTTCTCCATGATGAATCTGTATTTCTTTGGAAATGAGGAAACCCCAGTAAGCGCTGTGGAGTGAGAGCACAGGATGGTCCTAGTGGGCCTCACGGACTGGCAGGAACCGCTCCCTCCAGTCGGAGGGCACATTTGCCTCCTGCGGCCCAGAGATGCACAAGCCTGTGGGGCTCCTGGCCTGGGGCACCTCCCAGGCCTCAGAAGTGCCTGAGTCTACCCAGCCTTTCTGGCTGCTGCCCCCTGCTGGTGGAATCGTGTGGTGACGGCAGCCTGTGGGACTGACGGGGTGCTCTCCCTGCAGGCCCAGCTACGTGGTCCCCACCAGCCTGTCTCACGGGATCAAGTTGGTTAACCCGATGTTCCGGGGCTATGCCCAGCAGGTGAGCCATCTGAGCTGCCCTGGGGACACCCAGGGCCACCGCCTACCAGGCTTGGCTTCAAAGCCAGAACCAGAGAGGAGCCCTGCGTGGTGGTCCTGTGGGCGAGGCTGTCACTGCTGAGCCCTTCTGTGTGTGAGGACACTGGGGCTTCTCTGCAACCTGCCGTGCTCAACCTCGCATTCCAGATGGGAGTCTGAGTCTGTGGGGGGGCGGAGCCACAGAGCCGACAAATGGCGGAGGGGGCTTGAACTTGGCAGCCAGTGGCACTCTGGGCCCTCGGCTCTACACTCAGTGACCAAGGCCCCTCATCCCCACCCCACTGCAGAATCTTTCTCTCTTTTATCAAAGTAAAATTTCCATTAAAACTTTTTTATTTTTATCTAGAAAAGCCCTTGGAAGTCAGCTGTATCTTTGCATTTTTCAAAACCATGAGAGTAAGGCCAATCAGAGCGTGGCCTCATGCCCAGCTCCGCCCGAGCTTGTGGCACTGGTGCCAGGTCGCCGCCACAGGCCACGCTCAGCCCGGGGCTCCCTGCCCAGCCCACAGGCGAGCTGGCCCTGTCTGGGCTGCTGCCTCTGCCTGGACCCAGGCCCCATGGATAGAGAACTCTCATGAGTGAGCAGCCATCACCCGGGCGTCTAGCATCACCCATGCATCACAGGCGAGGAGCGGAGGCTCAGAGAGGGTCTGCATCGCACTCAGGGCACGCAACACCCAGTGGAGGCTGGGAGTCAGGCCCAGCCACACCCACTCTCACCGCAGTGCTGCCCTGACTTGACGTGGTGCCCTGCTGGTCCTTGGCTCTGGGTGAGGACAGCGAAGTAGGTCACGTGGCTGCTGAGTGACGCTGACTGGACTGCAGGGGAGGCGTCGCTTCTGTGGTTCTCACACATGTGCAGGGCGCGTGGCTGAGTCTGAAATGCAAGTGCAGCTGGGCTCTCTTAGTGGCCAAAGGGTGCTTTGGTGCTTCTGCAGGGACTGAGACTGATGGGAGCACACAGCCCTTCCGTCTAAATGACGAGGCAGGAGGAGGTGGTCTCTGGAGGGTGGTTATCCTAAAAGCCCTTCCAGTTTCTGACCCAGGACACGGATCTCCCTCCCTAATGTGACGGCTAGCTGTGGCCGATCCCCGTGGTCTTGCAGGCTGACACCCTGCCCGAGGGAATCACCTTGCCCACCCTCTCCTCTACTCACTCGTGAGCTCCTCTCCAGATCGTCCCTCGAGGCCCGGGTGTTCGGCTGGGTCTGGCTGCTGTGTGACACCTGCCTTGTGTGGGGAGGGACTGGACGGGGGCTGTGAGGAAGAGGTGGATTTGGAGCTCAGGTCACCCCCAGGGGCTGGCACCACCCGCATGTCCCTAGCTATCAGGTCAGCTGCTGCCATCGCCACCTCCCTGAGAGCCCTGAGCGAGCGCTCAGCTCTGTGGGCG